GTCTCCCCCACAAAGATCCCTCACAGCCCCTCACAAACCCCCCCAGCCCCTCACAGACACCCCCCCCATCGCCCCCTCCCGGACCCGCCGCCGCCGCCGCTCGCCCTGGTCACGCCCCTCTATTATTATGCAAATGAGGCGTCGGCCGCCGCCGCTCCCGATTGGCCGCGCGCCGCCGGCCCGCCCAGCGCTGCCTCGCGTGGATTGGCCGGAGGGCGGTGACGTCATGCAGAAGCGGCGGAAAGGAGGGCGGGGCCGGCACGCGCGGCGCGCGCGCGCGGCGGGACCCTCCCCCCCCGACCAATCAGCAACGGGCGCGGGGACGAGGAAGTGCTGTGGGGAGGGCGGAGCCTTAAAGGGGTAACGGCACCGACTAGCCCTGGGCGACGCCTTAAAGGGGCAACGGCGCCGCGAAGTCCCACCTCCAGCGGCCCCCGACCTTATTCCAGTGATCCCCAGTGACCTCCCAGTACTCCCAGTAACCCCAGTGCCCACCTCAGGGCTTATCTAGAGACCCCAGTTGCCCTTTCCCAGCAGCCCCAGTATCCCACGGGTGATCTCAGTGGCCTCAGCACTCACCTCTGGGGTCCCAGTGGTGCCTCACCGCTCCCAGTGACCCCAGTGCCAAGCAGGGGATGTCCATGGCACCAGTAGCCACCCCAGAGTCTCAGTGAACCCAGTACTCCCCCCACACTGCTCCCAGTTACCCCAGTACAGCCCTGGTACTGTTCCCAGTCACTCCATTACCTACAAAAGAGGAGATCCCAGTCACCCCAGGACCTCCGGGCTGCTCCCAGTCACCCCAGTATTCACTCAGCTGGGTATCCCCATGATGCCTGTAAGTCAGCCCAGAGTCCCAGTGATCCCAGTACTCCTCTCAAAGAGGTTCCCAGTGACCCCAGTACTGCTCATACTGGTCCCAGTCACCCCAGTACCTACTCAAAAGGGGGTCTCATTTGCCCCAGTGTCCCCACACTGCTTCCAGTGACACCAGTATTCACCCAAGGGGCAGGGTCTCACGACTCCAGTAGCCACCCCAGAGTCCCAGTGACCCCAGTACTCCCACCACACTGCTCCCAGTCCCCCCAGTACTGCCCATAACACCCTATTGCCCAGAAGGTCCCAGTTACCTCAGTACCCCCACATCACTCCCAGTGACCCCAGTACTCACCCAAGCAGGGGGGCCCCATGGCTTCAGTAGTCACCCCAGCATCCCAGTGACCCCAGTACCCCCCCACTGGTTCCAGTGCCCACCAGCAACAGCACACTCAGCCCCTGTACTGTCACCCCTGTAGTCTGACACACTCCATTTGGGTGCATACTGGGATACTGGGGTTACTGGGAGCAGCGCTGTGGTGCACTGGGGTCACTAGAACTCTGAGGTGACTACTGGCATCATTGGGACCCCTGCTTGGGTAGGTACTGGGGTCACTGGGAGCAGTGTGGAGGTACTGGAGTAACTGGGAGCTCCTCTTGTGTGGGTAATGGGGTGACTGGGACCATTATGGGCTGTACTGGGATTACTGGTAGCACTGGGGGGGGAGTACTGGAGTCACTGAGATTCTGGTGTGACTACTGGTGTCCTGGGGACCCCCTGTATGGGTGGGTACTGGGGTGACTGGGACTGTTATGGGCAGTGCTGGGGCAACTGGGAGCAGTGTGGGGATACTGGGGTGACTGGGACCTCCCCTTGTGTAGGTACTGGGGTGACTGGGATCATTATGAACCGTCCTGGGATGGATGACTCAGAGTGGTGTGGTGGTTCTGGGGGTGACTGGACTGTTATGGGCAGTACTGGGGTGACTGGGA